AATGCCGTTTGGATTTACTGACGCTTCGGCAACATTTATGGACTTAATGAACAGAGTATTCCAACCTTATCAGGATCAATTTGTTGTGGTATTTATATATGATATATTAGTGTACTCCAAGTCAAGAGAGGAGCACGATGTTAATCTTCGAGTGGTTCTTCAGTTATTGCGTGAAAAGAAGTTGTACGTAAAATTGTCTAAATGCGAATTTTGGTAGACGGAGATTGCTTTCCTTGGTCATATAGTTTCGGCATAAAGTATAAGAGTGAATCCTAAAAAGATTCAAGCCATATTATATTGGCAATCCCCAAAGAATATTACAAAAGTTCGAAGTTTTTTGGGGCTTGCTAGTTATTATAGGCGATTCGTGAAGAACTTTTCAATGTTAGCTCTGCCGCTAACTAAGTTGTTACGAAATGATATGCGTTTTGTTTAGTCAGATAAATGCCAAGAAAGTTTTGAAATGTTAAATAAAATAGTAACCGAGGTCCCAGTGCTTGTGCAACCTGAGTCAGATAAAGATTATGTTGTTTACAGTGATGCCTCCCATAATGGGTTGGGTTGTGTACTGATGCAAGAAGGGAAAGTTGTGACTTATACCTCAATACAGATGAAAAATGATGAGAGAAATTACCTAACGTATGATTTAGAGTTGGTAGCAGTAGTGTTTGCTTTAAAAATCTGGCACCATTATTTGTACGGTGATCGTTGCCATATTTATACAGATCATAAAAGTCTAAAATATTTGATGACTCGGAAAGAGTTGAATTTAAGATAGAGAAGATGGATTGAGCTCTTAAAAGACTATGATTTGGTGATTGACTATCATCTAGGAAAGGCTAATGTGGTAGCAGATGCGCTCAGTCAAAAGACTTTTGCGGCTTTAAGGGCTTTAGATGTATATATTTCTTTAAAGGAAGATTGCTGAATTAAAGTTAAAGTCAATACTTTTAGATCGAGTAAAAGAGCTGCAAGGTCGAGATGAGAAATGCTTGAGAAGATTGGTGCAAGTCCAAAAAGGGGAGTCCAAAGGTTTTGAAACGAGAGAGAATGGATGTTTATATTACTGTAGAAGACTTTGTATTCCCAATGGTGATGAATTGAAGAAAAATATTCTTTGCGAGGCACATTATAACCATTTGACAATACACCCAGTGGGGATAAGATGTATCAGGACTTGATGAGTCGTTATTGGTGGCATGGTATGAAAAGAGTTGTAACGGAGTTTGTTGTCAAATGTTTGACATGTCAGCAAGTGAAAGAAGAACATCAAGTGCCTTCCGAATTGCTTCAACTGATAACCATTCCTGAGTGGAAGTTAGAGCGAGTTACTATGGACTTTGTTTCAGGGCTATCTTTTGTCACCGGGTAAAAATGACTCGATTTGGGTAATAGTAGACAGATTGACCAAGACAACTCATTTTATCCCAGTTCGAGTGACTACTCGATGAATAAGTTTGTGGAGTTGTATATAAAAGAAATAGTTAAACTGCATGAAGTACCGATATTGATAGTGTTCGATCGAGACCCAAGGTTTACTTCAAGATTCTGGAAGTCTTTACATGAGTCATTGGGTACTCGATTGAACTTCAGTACAACTTTTCATCTACAGACAGATGGCCAATCAGACTGAACTATTTAGATATTAGAAGATATGTTAAGGGCATATGTGATTGAATTTAAAGGATCATGGGAGAGGTATTTGCCTTTAACGAAATTTATGTATAATAATAGCTATCAATCAAGCATTAAGATGGCCCCGTATGAAGCTTTGTATGGGAGAAAATGCAGAACACCATTAAATTGGTTTGAACTAAAAGATCGAGACCTGGTTAGCCCTGATTTGATAAAAGATATGGAGGATAAAGTGAAAATTGTCCAGAGCAATCTAAAGATATCCTCAAATCGTCAGAAGTCCTATGCGGATTTGAAAAGAAAAGAAATATAATATCAAGAGGGAGACAATGTATTTTTGAAAGTATCGCCTTGGAAGAAGGTATTACATTTTGGACGAAAGAGAAAGCTAAGTCCGAGATTCATTGGACCGTATGAGATATTAAAAAGGGTTAAACCCATAGCTTATCAGTTAGTTTTGCCTCCGGACATGGACAAGATCCATAATGTTTTTCACGTATCGATGCTTAAGAGGTATAGATCAGATCTATCCCATATTATCACTCATAAAGAAATAGAGATCCGACCATATTTAACTTATGAGAAGGAACCAGTACGGATTTTGGCTAAGGAAACCAAGGAATTACGTAACAAAAAGGTTACGTTGGTTAAAGTACTTTGGTAGAATTATAAGGAAGGAGAACTTACTTTGGAACGAGAGGAGGATATGAGAAAACAGTTTCCACACTTCTTCGTTTCAGGTACTTCTTTTAAATTCGATGACGAATTTTCTTAAGGGGGAGAATTGTAATACCCCAAATAGTAGGTCATTGATTAATTTTAAAGGAATTAAAAATTTGTAGGACTAAATTAAATAAATGATAAAATATAAGAATGACTTAAATAAGATTAATTTGTAAGAGATAGATATATAAAAGGACATTTTGGTCTTTTTAAGTGAAATGAATTTAAAACCCATTTAAAATTAGGGATTTAAGAAAAGGGGAAAATTGGGTAATAATATCAGTATTGATCGAACAGTACCGATACTGTAGGCTATAATGGGAAGAATCAGCTGAGTAGTATCGGTACTTATGCAATCAGTGTCGATACCGAGAGGGAGGTATCAATACTATGAGGAAGGTATCGATACCATTAAAAACATAATGCAAAAATGGTATCGATACCGTAATAGAGTATTGGTACCATAGTATGGTAGTATCGATACCATGGTAAGGGTATCGATACTAAAGAATTAGAAATTGTGAGATAGGTTGATATTGTTATAGAAAAGTTAATAATAGTTACTCTTGAGTAATGTTAAGTGTAATTGTTAGGAAATATACTAACAATTCATATTGTACATGTATTTAATGGATATTGAATAGATCGAAATCAAGTTCCCGAATCAAGCAAAGCAAAAGGCAAAGGTCAAGTTATGGTGTGATCAACTTTACGTTTGAATACCAAAGCGAGGCAAGCCAAGTGAGTGAATTTAATATGTACTTATGTGTACGATAGTCATAAAAGTATAATTGATTGGGATATGTATGGTGATTACCAAATGGCACTTGGTGTGCAAAAAGTTAAGAAATTCATACTAAGTGTATGAATTTTCGTATGGAAACTATATGTATAAACATAAGAAATTCATAATAAGGAGGTGGATTTTTGTATTGGTAATGGGTATGCAAACCACATAGATTATAGTAATGGTTGAGGAATGACGGTATTAGTAAACCATAGAGTGTTTAATGAATTGAGAGAATCCCTGGAAATGTGAATTGTAATAATATAAATTGTGTTTAGAATTTTACTTATGATTGTTTATGACTCACTAAAAAATTTCTTAGCATGTGTTAATTTCACGCGTAGGTTTTACTACCAGCGGAGTAAGGAGATTTTTGGACATCGAAGCAAAAAAGGGTCGCCTCGTCAGTAACAGTATGACATACATGTCTACTTTTTGATATATTTAGTTGGCATGTAATATATTGAGTAAAAATGATCTAAAAAACATTTGAACGATACTTTTTGATATGTAATTAAATTTAATGCATGTTTTATATTAGTTTTAATTAAAAGTTTTAATTAAAATGTTTTATACTAGATTCAATAGGTGTTTGATTATACTTATTACGTATACAATAGTAGTACAATATTCAGTGGGAATCTAGGATTAGATATAAAAGAAGTAAAGAAGTTTCCCGAGTAGGAAAAGAACAAAGAAAGACTGGTACCTTAGAATGTGATTTATGCAGGCTGTGTACTATTGAAAGATTCGAAGATTCCAATAAGAGAGAAAATAAGATTAATGAAACCCCACATTCTCTTCTCTCCTATCTCTCTAAAATCAAAAGAATCAAACAAGTTAACTCCTTTATTACGAGTATGACAAGCACTTACCCAATAAAAAAAACAATGGATAATAAAGAAAACATGCAAGTAAACTTCATGGTAGCAACTCCCATTTGTCACCTCAGATTGATGTCACCGATGTCTGCTTTTGAAGGGTAAATTGCCATTGTTAACAAGGGCAAAAATCCCAATGTTTTTCACCTTTAAACCCCAAAACCAGGTAAAGTACATTTACTTTTTTCATTAGGCAAACATCAGTACCAATACAATGGCTCCAAAGGGAAGGAGCTCTGATTTCAGAGCTCTCTCCCCATAACATTTCTCCATCGTTTGTCACTAAAGGCAATTGCACCAACTTTCTTCGTGATCATTAGCAATAGTAGTTTTCTTTCTTTATTTTCTTTTGGTATTGATTTGATGAGAGCATAAATAATGGTGTAGTTGCAGTGTTGTCCCCTTGGGTGATTATATTGTAGGGACAAAGCAATGGGGGAACTGATCATTTTACTTCAAAGAAGGGATTTGACTATGGAATATATATATATATATATATGATGGAAACTTGTCATTATCATTATCTACAATTCCTCATTATTAAGGACTAATTCTCCTCTCCTTTAGGGAATTTTGCATTCTATGATGTTGAACTTTTTATTTTTCATGAAGTATTTATGTCTGATATTTGAATATATAGATATAACTTTCATGGATCTTACAATATATATATATATATATATAAACTTGAAGCAAATCTAATAATACATGTGCTCTACATTTACACCTATATTCAAGTAACATATATGGCAGACCTATGAAATAAACAGTTATGAAGCCAATATTTTCATTTCTACATACATTTTAATGGAAAAAGTAACAACAACAAAACAAAGAAACTGGTATGTGTTGCAAATTTGCACCAACTCTTTGGTATTTTTGTTGTTAAAAAAAAAGAAGACAGGGAAAGAAATTATACAAAGAGTCTTGAAACAATAAAATAATAAGAATTGGCATATAAAGATGATATTGTGTCATCATAATTGTGTTGATTTTCATGCAGGGAAGGGGATTTTTTTTTTTTTTTTTTTTTGCTTTTGGCACTCCTATTTGTCAGTAGAGACCAGCCTTTTTCCACCTCTTGCTTTCTTTTCTTTACTTTCTTCTTCTTTTTCCTTTTGTTCTTTCTCTCTTTCCAACATGGACTGTTTTGCAGTTAGTTCATTCGAGACTTTGAAAGACATGTAAACCAGGTCCCTCTGGTCCTCCCCCATTAGAAGAAGAAAAAAAGAATAAAAAAAGAGAGAGAAAAACTATAGTAATAGATGGGTTTTTTTCTTTGGCCTTTCTCCTTGAAAAGAACTTGACCAGTATGCTTCAAGTACTAATAATGATGATGTCTGTAAGGAATTTCCTTTGTTTTGTCTTTTTTTTTTGCTTCTACCCATGATGATCCTGGTTGTCAGGTTCAGGCCAGAATGAAGAGTACTTCAACCATTCAGCTTCTTGTGGGTTTGTAATGGATGATTCCTGTTCCCAAAAAAAAACCCATGTTTAAGTAATGAAAAACAACAACTTATGATTAAGGTTTTAACCTAAACACAACAAAATGAAGAAGCTGCCTTTTCTTGTCTTCTCCCCAATTACAACAATCAAACTGTTTGCTGGTATATCTATATCTCAGGCAACACATATGATAATAGGGTTTTTCATGCATGTTGCTATCATTCTCACTTTAAATTTCCTTTCCCATGAAATCCAACCAAAAGAATGTTATCCACTGACTAGCTGCTTTCTTTGCTTTTTGAAACCCAACCAGAACTTACAGCACTTGTAAAGCAACATGTATTCAAATGAAAAACCAAAGGATGTGTAGAGGAGAGTAGTGTAGGCTTTAGTTTTCCAACTGCTTTTTCTTTTTTGTTTTCGTCCTAAAGAGAAATATAAAAGAAGATTCTATATGTTTTCAGGATTTTATTTCATTTGATGGCTTCATGCTTTCACATTTTGATATGTTTGATTTATAAATAACATGTTTACTAAAAAAACACATCACAATTGCCTAACATATTGGTTTGAGAGTGATTCGACTTCTAATTCGACTTAATTTTTTTCATTTTGGTAATTAAACAGAATGATAATTTAAGTACCAAAGTGAGTCTAAAATGTTTAGATACCAAAATGAGAAAATGGAATAAATTCAAGGGCTAAATCATAAATTAAACCATTAATCTGTGAGAAGATAAAGCTCTGCATTCTCTTGGACAGCATATTATTGTAGTATGATAGTTACGTGCATCTCTTTACAGGATGCTGAATGCCATGCTAAAACTCTGATGAAGGAGAAGAAAAAAAAGAAAGAGAAAAAGAGATAACGAGAAAGAGAAAAGAACTCTGGCTTCTCTCTTTATTTCAATATATATGTATATGTATATGTATATATTCACTTCTTTTAATCCACTGATTTTATATATGCTTCCCTTACTTTTTCTTTAATTCTTTCTTCCACTGCTTAGTTGGTATTATATGACAAGAACAAAGGTCACGGATTTCAGAGTCAAAAAGTTCATACTCACTTCTTTTATATCTGAAGATGAAGTGCAACCCAGTATTAGTTCCTCCAAACCTGATGCAGACCTTCCTCCCAGTCTGTAATGTTGCTCCTGCTGCTGCTGCTGTTGCTGCTGCTGCTGCTGCTGTTGTTGATGCTGTTGCTGTATTTTTGTTCATTGAACAAATATATATAATGAACGATAAAGATTAAAAAAGTAAAAATCCCAGAGTTTCAGTTTCTGCATGCATATATCCTATATATTCATATATAATTAAAAACTTGAAATAAAATACACAAAGGTGGAAAAACAAAAGCTTCAGCTAAATAAGTACTGTACTTAATATCTAAATGTGGCATGCATGTGTAAAACACTGTGTCATTTTGTTCCTGCTGAGTACATAGAGATTATATATATCAGAAAACTGTTTTTTTTTATTAAAAAAAGCAGAGTACCACTCAGATTTGCGACTTCTAGAGAAAGTTATAAGTACAGTGAATTATGCATGAAATATCTTGTTCGCACACAATGTGAACTCGTTTAATCTATTGCTGGGATGGAGGTTAATTAATTTGATATATAATGATGATGATGATTATATATGTGTATTACCTGGAAGCTTTCGTTTTGAAGCATTATCCTGGAGACATTGAAGGAATCGTCGTCGAGAATGATAGAGGTGTGGTGGAGGGGAGGTGGAGAGATAATGGTGGAGATAGGATGCGATGGCCTGCTAATCTGGAAGGCCGTCGTAGCCATCTGATGATGCGTGTGTTGTTGTTGCTGTTGTTGTTGGTGGTGGTGATGTTGCTGATGATGATCGTGAGCTATATGATGCGGCCGGAGATGCTCAGGTATCTCTTCGCAAGTTCCTTGAACCGGAGCTTCCCTGGAGGCCGAAGCTTCTCCGATCCCCACCTGCAATAGAAACCTCAAAAAGAAATGTAAGTAATTGACTAAGAAGAAAGAAAATAAAAAGCAACCCTAGATAGTTTGTCAAGTTGATGGATAAATTGCATGAAGCAAAAAGGTACCTCGTCGAAGCTTTTTCTGAATGGAGTGAAACTGAAATGATCGGATTTTAACTGTTGGATATCCATGGCAGCACCGGCAGCATAACTCGATAAAGCTGCTGCAACTCCGGTGACTTCATCTCTAAGAGGGATTACGTCCTTCGAAGAAGAACTCCTCCCACTACCACTATCTCGTCGGCTATTCGGATCATTGGCAATGACATCGGTTGCTTCTACGGTCGTCGTCGTTGTTCGATCCGACCAGTTGCACAGCCTCGGTTGAGTCTGATAGAAGATCTTGGACACCACGAGCTCTCCTTCCTTCTCTTCCTCGTGTTGACCGAGATGGTACTGATGCATCACCCAATTTGTCTTCTCCGGTTTCCGATTCTTGCCAAAATTCGTGTAGAGGACAAGGATCTTCTTGCACCCTTTCTGCTTGCCGTTCACCATCACCGGCCTCGTCTTTCCGGTCTTATGCCACCTCGTTTCTCCGCCTTGTAAGTCGCATTCGGTTTGGATTTTCCTACGTTTTCGTGTCCCGGTGGTGTAGGCCTTTGACGGTCTATGGAAGAAATGTCTGCTCAACCCATCTGTGGTTACTCCTACAAGAAATCAAATCCAAAAGAAATCAAAGTTAGGCTCACTTAGGTGCAACAAACTATAATCAAACAATGCATATTATATATATATATATTCTGAGCTACCTGGGAGTTTCTCAGGATGGGTATAACAAATGCCATCTTCTCCTTCAATGGTGGGGATGAATTCATCGATCAAAGGGTGAGATTTCATGTCTTTAGCTTCAACTTTAGCTTCAAGGTGTTCTATCAGTTCTTGGTCTGTGGGATCAAATTTAACTCCGGCTGGTAAACCTAACCAGTCCTGCAAATTTTCATGATTTCTATTAAAACAAGTTTCCTTCAAGATCAAAAAGAAAAAAAAAAGGCTTTGATGCAAAAAGAATTTGAATCATTACCGGTTTTCCTTCAAGCTTGTGACCGCAACCAGGGCACTGCTTGGATCCGCACAGCTGATGCTCTTCGAGCTTTGCATCGATGAGATCGGAGCTGCTGACGGACCCCAAGTTACTCTTGTTCATATTGCTTCAATCTTGTGCGAAATAACCGACTTTATTCCACGGCAAAAATACCCATGTCCCGGTTAGCTTCTTCTCTATGGAACACAGCAAACAGATTGAAAACACCAAACCAAATCAAAAAACTAGGGATCTAAGCAAAACCCAGATGAGAAGTATGGTTTAAGAGGAGAAATCTTCCTTCACTTTCCCTCAAGGAAGAGAGAGAGAAAGGAAACCGTGACACAGTGGGATATAGAGAGATATAAAAAGCCTGATGCTTTAACCACTTGGGAAAAACACCAGAATTCCCTCACTTTAACTGAAGCAAAAAAGAAGGGAAAAGTTGTCCCTTCCTCAATCCAACCCCTTTAACCCACTTTTGCTGAATCAAGTGAGCTCATGGCGGTTTAAGAGAGAGAAACCAAAAAAAAAAAACCAGGTCGCTTGCTCTAAAGCTCAAGGATTCTCACACAATCACCTTTGTTTCTTTAAGCTCTTGACTAGTAAAGCAAGAAAAAGAAGGAAACTGTCTCCATAGCTGTTACTTGCATTCATTCAAAAGCATGGCAATACTTAAAAAAAAAATATATATATATATATATATACCCTTTTACATACTTAAATATACAAAACAAAGCTTATTTATATATAGTATTGAGTAATAATCTACGAATTCATTGGCTAAGCCATATGATGATAGACGTGGCATTGAAAAAAGCTTTGAGTAAGGAAGACGATATGTATATATATACGGGGAAAATTAGTAGTTTATCTTTGAGATATATAGGTAATTAATTCACAGATTAGAGAGAGAGCATATGATGAGAAAAGGGTTTTAGTAAAAAGAGAAAAACAAGGATGACAAAGAGAACTCACATGGGTTTTGTGTTGGAGTGGTGATGATTATTCTTTTCGCTATTAATGGATTGCACACAGAGAGAGAGGGGTGAATTACGGAGTTGCTTGATATACAAGGCAAAGAACAGTGTGTACTTGATGGACCACCACCAGCACACCCTAGAACATGAAACCAAATACATATTTTATTTTAGGATGAGGTATACAAAATGCTACTACGATTAATAATATTATTTTATTTAGTCTCTCAATTATTAAAAAATTATAAAATGATATTTTAATTATAAAAAGTTAATTTGTTGAGTCATCGACTATTAAAAGTTATAAAATGATCACTTAATTATTCATTATATTTCAAATTTATCATTTTTTGTTAAAATAATTAATGGCAACCTGAGCTGAACTTTAACAATATTAACTGAGATATGATAATATATGATCTCATAATCTTAAACGACTATCTAAGATAGCATGTTAACATTCAGTTAAGACCGCCGTCAATTTTTTAACGAAAAATGACGAGTTTGGAACATAATTGTCAACACACCTTTTTCGTCCTACTAGGATTCAAACTCTCAAAAATAGGATAGAATTCTGCTAGGATTCAACTCCTAAAAATAGGATAGAATTTTGCTATGTTTTAAACTCCTAAAGATAGGATCCACAAGCACTATAAATAGTCATTGTAGCTCACTATTGTAACACACGATGGGCATACGAAATTACCAGAAAAAAAAATACGAGCAAATAGATTGTTTTGAAGCTATTGTAAACAATTCAGGAGCAATAAAAGGTGAAAGCTTTTACCTTTCGCATTCTTTTCTTCACTTGCATGTGTTGTTATTCGTCTTTGTGCTTGAAAAAAAAAATTTGGCCGAGGAAAAGGGGTTGTCGTTCGAAACTTTTCTTTTAGATCTACACAACCCCGAGGCCGTTTTGGAAAAATACTAGAATATTTAAAACGAGGGAAGGAAATGATTTTAAAAATTAATTTTTTTTTCGAGGTTTGCCGCCGATGAACGGTCCCTTATGTATTATTTTCATATTTTTATTTATTTCTTTTTGATAATTCGTATTATTAAGTATATATATATATTAATTATTTTTATTCTAATATTATTTTAATGTTTTTTAAAGTTATCATATATATATATATATATATATATATATATATATATATATATATATATATATATATATATATATATATATAACTATTATATTTATTATTATTTTACTATTAACGTATATAAATATATTTTTCTCTTTTGCTACTATTATTATTTACTATTAACGTATATAAATATGTTTTCTCTTTTACTACTATTATTATCATTATATGTATATTTTTATTTTATTTTATTTTTTATTTTTACTTTTTTTTAAACATATGCATATATACATTTAATTATATTTTTATATTTTATACTTATTTATTTTTTTGTTTTCATGTATTTATATTATATTACATTATTATTATTTTACTTTATTAAATTATTATTTTTTTTATTATATTTATTATATATATATATATATATATATATATATATATATATATATATATATATATTATATCATAATGTTTTTTTTGTTTATTCATTCTTACTATATTATAGGGATACATCACACTCATTTATTAACTACGGTCCTACCCCTTATCGTCTTTTTCCTTCCCGACAGTTATACTTCACCAAACCTTGACTTTCTTTTTTTACTTTCTTTTGGTGTGATTGCGTTTTTTTTTATTTTACTACTTATTATCATTATTATTATTTTTCACTTAATAATTATATATATTTTTATTCCTCTTTTAGTTTTTCATCATTTTTTTTATTTTTTCCCTTCTATTTTCTTTATTTCATTTACTCTTATTTCCTTTTTCCTTTAACGCGTTTCTCGACTTTTTAAGGGTACTCTTTCAAATTGATCGGAGGTAAGTAATTTTGGATCATATGTTACCTTTAAATTTTAACTTTCGATTTTCTTAATTAAAAACAACTGGAAATTACGTAGTACCGAAAGGGCGGTTCAAGGGTGCTAATCCTTCCTTGACCGTAACCGACTCCCGAATCCGACATATCTTTGGTAAGACGCAGATCAGGTAAGATATAAGGTATCCGATTAACCTATTTTTTTTTTAAATAAATAATCGGTGGCGACTCCAATCACATTTTTCAAGTCGAAGCCCAATTCCGTGGCCCAACCGAAAGACGGTTACGACAGCTTGGCGACTCCGCTGGGGATACAGGTAAGTGAGTCAGGCTAAGGTAATTTCCAGTTGTCTTTTAATGAAAAAGGTAAGTTTAAATTTTAAGGTAACATTTTGATCCTTATTACTTACATTTGATTATATTTTTTCGAGTAAATAGTTGAACTGACCGTTTTCTAATGATTTCAGCTTCCCGAACTTTTTTCATCTAAAGGCTCTAAATCCGAGCCCCGAACCCTATTTAAGTGAGGGTGAAAGCGACGCATTCGTGTGAATTTATTCACCGCATATGCCTAGCAAGTAGCCTTCGGGATTCATATACCTTATGTCTTCGTGTGAATTTATTCTCCGCATAGACATAAGGGAATGTGTCCTCTCGAGTTTAACTTAGTCCACACAAACCTGTGATGGGTTTAGGACTAAAGGTCTGGCAAGCCCAAAGGGGCACCAGCAAGGAGAACTCGGGTACCGTTTTTTTAGAACCTAAACCGGGAGACTATGGAGAATTAGAGCCCACCCCAAAACCTCACTTCAAACCCTAGGCTGTTTTATTTCATGCTTTACTTTCTGTTCAAAGCATGCGAACTAGACAAATATGCGGTTAGGATTTGTTTGAAATTAGCATGCGGGATAGAGATCATGTCCGGGTAGGAATAATAAGCATGTGGGGTAGATATCATGTGGGGTAGGACTTTCATTTTTATGATCGTTTTTGATTATTTTTCACCTCACTAACTCTTTTCATCTTTATTTTATTTTCATCATTTGCATCATTAAAAAGAGGTTATTGATCCACTAAAACATGTTTGTTAAAACTCGAATAATCTGAATCCATGGACAAAGGTGTTGTAATACAAGAGATGAAAATACAGAGGATAGTCTACAAGGCGACTATGTGTCACATTCAATCCAGAAGACGTGGTGCCCACAATTGAAGAGTATATCACTCTGCTGTATTATAAAAGACCCAAAATGAACCGGGTCTACATCAAGCACAATGAAAGCTTATCTTTGAAGAACTGACTGGCAGAGGTTGCAGGGGCAAGATGAAGGTTATGTATCTCGGAAGTCCCTTTGAACACAACTATGGTAAAATGATAGCTGAAATTGGAGACCATTGCCGGCGAATTCAAGAAACAGATTAATGAACTTCACATAGTTCCTATCAATTAAGGGCTCCAATGACGAATTCGTTGGGAACAGGCTCAACAAAAGTAAATGCTCGAGATGAGATCATTCGAGACTTCTTGGACCAGTACAAAAAACAACTCAACATTTTCACGGTTCATCCAGAGAGGCCGGAGCGGTTCGACAGGTTATTCAACCGGTGAAAGACGAAAGCAGAAGACTAGTCAACATGTCAGAAGCTGTCAGGATATTTTTTTCTCTTAAAAGATAAAACATTTTTGTCCCCAATAAGGATTATTCATAATAACAGTCACATTTCTTGGATCAATGCCTCGAACATTTCATGCATTCTTGCATTCTTGCATTTTTGCATCTTCATCTACATTTTTAAGCATTTCCATAAACATGAAATTAAATCACGGAGGATTCGATGAAGTGGTCTTAACACATTACACCACATGGAAGCCAGATTTTAACAATTAAAGAAAAACTGAAATCAGTACAGGGGGAGCTGGATCAGCTGATTGTAGGACTAAGCCTGCCAGGATGATCTGAGAAAAGAGTACCCATCTCCTAAGGGCTACGATGTTGAAGTTGTTGCCACATAAGGATTCCCAAACATTCTTCTGAAAACTGTAAGGCGCTTGCCGAAGAAGGGGGCATGGCATATACCATTTGTACTTAGAGGATTATTTTGTTTGAACACATCTTTTAAACGATTGAATTCATGTTACTTTCTAAGGTGGAGCAATTGAACAAATTTTAATCTTTAGTTCTTTGAATATTAAATGAATTGAGGATTCTTTTAATTCTTCAAGAATTATAGATTTTTGACATATGACAAGATTAGACCTTTCTTACCCTGTCTCAAACCCTAGAATAAAACACCTTGATTCTTTACCCAAAATAACTCATTGTCATTATCAAAAAACCAAATTTTGACATTACCTTTATCTTTTTG